TATAGTTTGAAGAATGTGGTTGGAATGAAGGTTCAGAATAATTTCACTCGTAAGTTACTTCTTCGACTTGGTGGCTTCCCTTATGGCAATGTACCAAATGCGGCGACTAGGAACAGGTATCTGGGGCTATCAACTCTTCAATCTAGGCGTAAAATCTTTGATCTTTGTTTAGTCCACAAGATGGTACAGTCTCTACCTGGGTCACGTTTCTGTAATGTTTTCAATATAATGCCCTCGAGAACAAGAGGAGGATCCAGTAAGATTTTGCTCACTCAACCTAAGACTGCTTTGCGTGCCAAAAATTTCACGTTTAGAGCTGGCAGTCATTATTTGAAGTTGGCAAAAAGGTTACCTTTGAACATGTCACTGGCTCAATTCAGACATTGGGTGACTAATATGCTGCTAAGCTACGAGGTAGAGTATTAGCGTTTTCGGAGACTGACTGCTGAATTAAACCGCCTCTCCATCTGTTACTGTCAGATTTGACGTTATCTTGACTGACTTTTTCTTCTTTTGTTGCTTTATTAGTGTGGACGTTATGTTTGATTCTTTTTTTCGAAGTTGTATCGTTTTGTTTTTTCCCACATGTGCCTTTTGCACACGTAAATCTCAATCTAAATCTAAATCTAATGCGACGGCTGTAGAAATCATTTGAAAGCAAAAAGAAAAAATAGAGTTGGTGGAAAAAACAATTAAATTGCAGGGAAATCATAAAGATCAGTTAAACGGAAAACGAAGATAGGTTGAAAAATTACAGGATAACAGACGATAGCAAGGCGGTTGAGTAACGTTAGAGAGGTAAAAAGGAATGGAATGGCAGAAGGATTGGAATAAGAACAAAACGAGTACCGAGGATAGGATGAAAGTAGACGAGATTGCACCGCAAACTGCACAAATTATTCAGCTACAGCTGTGTTAGAAAGCAAAAGCAATGTTTACCCGTTATGAGCAAGGTGTTTCACCACACATGGGCAACGAAAAACATGCGGTGGTTGCCCAGAACCGATCAGCGACTCGGCAGCAGCTGGTTCATCGCCAGCCCCTCAGCATGTTCAGCGTTTTCCCACCATTTTCAAAAAATAAAGACAAAATAATCAAATCAAGATCAAGCTGATCAAGTAGGCACTTCCTACTCAAATTAATGAGAATTATTCTTAGATTACAAGTATTTACTAGCTTCTTTCAGTAAAAATATACTAATTACAAACTGTGGGATTGAATTCGTTTCACTGTTGTTCAAAAGGAAAGGTTCCTAGAACTCGAAATTTTTTTTTGAATTTCAGATATTGGGGATCGAAGAAGACGTTTGTCTCTGTTTCGAACGTGCCTTTATCACAAGCCAAACAAATAAAATGTCCTTCTGTGCTCATGAGTAAGGGAAAGGAAAAACAGAGTTTCAAAATTCAAAAATTCTACAAGTTACATTAACTCCACTGGCAACAGTCTTTACCATCAAGGAATCTCTGCAGTCTTCGAAAGAACTTACGTGGGCCAAGAATTGTCTGGGCTCGAGTGAGGAGACGACCGTTGCGGAGCAGGCTCTTCTGAAAATATACAGAATAGAATTCAGTAGGACAGTGAGCCGGTGTGATTGTGACTTAGAAAGAACCAAAAAGATTGAGTAGTGCCAAACCCGCCTATCGCGACACAACTAGAGGACAAAACCACTTCATAAAATAAACGATGACTTCACGTTGAATTGCGAAACTCATTTGGTGAATGGAGAAATGAGTCATTCATGATTTTTTGAAACAATCGACGCATGGCGAGAGACACAGATTACAAGCCAATTGTCATTCCACGTGAGAACTAAATGTGATGAAACCTTTAGACTCATGACCCGAATCTTCGGTGTTCCTCGCCTTATGCGCGTTACTTCCCTTATAATGAACTTTGAGGTTAAAAGTGGAGTTAACAAAGGAGGTAAAGCCAATAATTACTTGAACTTTTTCCATATCACTTTTTGAAAAATGGTGTTCTTCAGGACAAATCGTCAAATGCAGAGCATAAATGTAACACTTCAAGATATAGCTCCATTTGTAGATTTTAAAAATAGAAATAAGAAAATTCCTAGTAAAAATGTCGCACCAGAAAACAAAGATCAAAAATCTGATTATTCTACCACACATTGAAAAGATGACTGAGGGTAGCGTAGAATACGGGTTTGTGAAAAAAGTCGGCGCGAAAAAGAAAATATGATGAGCAAGCTGATAGTGAATAAGGAGCCTCCTACCGATGACGCAAAAAGAGCAAAAATAAAGAATACTGACATTCTGATACTTCACTTTATGGTACGTTAATGCTGCGTTGTGTCAATGCATGCATGACATCTCCTGCAAGAAGTGATGGCATCCCTTACACACATGGAAAGGCAATAGCGATACTGGAGTGGGACACGCTCTCCAAAAATGACAAAAAAAGCGAACATTAATGCAAACAAACTCAAATAAGAAGAAACACCCTACGTAAAAATCACTGATGTCGCTGCAAAGTCAATGAACTACAACGATCGTAGCGAATAGTCCAATCAAAATGTAACCATAGCACTAACTCAACACAGAAAAATGTGTTCAATGCAATGCAGAAAAGGATTCGTGACCTAACGAAGAATTCAGAGACAAAGAGTGGAGGGAAGTCTAGGAAATCTTACCTCGTTCCAATCATCGAAGAAACCATGTCTAGGACTCTCAAGACACTTAGAAGCACCGCCTTCTATGTCATCGTCTGTGTACTCAGTTGCAGTTTGTTCGTGATTTCCGCGAGTAAACGTTAGTGTAGTAGCGTTAGTTCCACTCAAATCCATCATCTCCACGTCGCTGAAACTCAAAAAGTACCGAGCTACATAGGAATGGTAAGAATTCCCAAGTCAATTCTATCTTGATTGAATATTGGTTGAAGAGCGGTGATAGGCTATAATGCTCGAAGGAACTCACTTGTCTTCATCTATATACTTCATATCTTCTTTTTCGTACCGAACTCTAAAAAGGTGATCTAATATTCACGCTTGAAGCAAAATTCAAGGAACTTAGGACTTGAGATACAAGTTCTGAGCATGATATTCAAAAAACTGTGACGCGTAGAAAACCAAAAAAGAACTTAGTTGGCCCTATGCGAAAGAAAATAGCCCTGGTGACACCTCTCAAAACTCAGGCTTATAAATCAATGAACAATACATTAGTACATTACTAAAAGCACCTATGAAACTCACGGTTTTCTTTTGGTAGAAGTGAAAGCCGAGAATGCCTCTATCCTCCTTGTCATAAACGAATCATCAAATGTTGTACACTTTCCTGAACAGGCAGTAAGCAGCAACAGAAGAAGAAACGGCAAAAGGGTTTTTATGGAAAAACGACAAACACATGATTTGTCCGTGGAATAAATGCAGAAACTGAACAGTGAAGGACGTGAACGTATGCTGAACGCATGGGCAGAGCCAACGAAACGTGAGTCATTTACCCCTTACGACTTTATATTGGAACTCATATGTCACACCCCGTTGTGGCCTAAGATGATTATAAGTACCTAAGATGGCGACCAACAAGAAGCGAACGTAGATCATAATCACATATGTAAGTCGCATATGACCTAATGATAAACCGCCGAAACGGATAGGAGTGAGACGAATATATCGATTTCTACGACCATAAAAGAATTATTGCTTCATTGCCTGAAGTTTCGCTTGTCCTTGTAACTAACGTTCTGACTGCGATCTTTACGCGAGCTCCTGCGTAAACAGATATCACGAATTCAACACCGTCCGATAAAAGGGCAAGGGTTCTCAAAAGTAAGATCAAAGTAATCGAAGAAGTTGTACAGGATATAGAAAAAGCATATAGAAACGTGAGAAGCGACTATACTCAATATATAAGAGTCCGTAGTCCGTCTCCGTTGTAAGAGACCATTGTCGTGTTTAATACTCGCAGTACAGAAACGCGTCTCCTGGCGAAGCTCTCGAAATTCGCATATGCTCTTAAAGTTAACTATCCGCTGGGCTACACACAGCA